GAAATTTCACTATAAGAGAACTCAGTTTTTCAAACTAAATGTAAATAAATTCTTTTGGTTAAAATATAAAGTCAACTGACATATACAGTTGACTGTCAGTAAGTTGATTTTTTTAATTTGACTCTCTAAGTTACATTGAGGGGTGGAAAGTTTAACTCCTATAAACATAATGCATTTGTGTATGTCTATAAGTCAACATTTTTGAGAGTAAGTTTTTGTAACTCAAGATCTAAAGTTTTGTAAATTTATCTAATGTCTAAATTTATATGATTTGCTTTTTTAAATTGCTAATTAAGATTATATTAAGATGACTGAAATAAAAACAAATTGTTTAATTATGTATATGTGAAAAGTATACAAAGCTACTTGGCATTGTATTACATCTAAAGTCATAATACAAATTTATTAAAAATATATAATCAAACCTTAGTTTTTGAACAATTCACTTTTCAAACAAATCTGTTCACAAACAGAATTTCAAACTTGTAATTGCACCAGTTGCCAAACAAGCTACTTGGCAAGAGCTGACCACAGATTAGAGAGACAGATGATCCTTATACTTATGTTAAAGAAAGTTGAGAGCCCAACCAATCAATGACATGACTACTGATTTGGAGGTTAGTGGTAGTGAATTGCCTTGCATCATTAGATGACGTGATACAAATCATCGATGACGTTACTATTTAAATTAGATTTCGATGTGCATGTAGGAAAGATACTAATTCTGTTTTTCAGTATGAGTTGCAGTTTAATCTAAATCAAATAAATTAATAAAAACCACATTAATTGACATTCACATAATATAAATGGCATCCAAAAATTCCTGTTTAATAGTGCTTAAGTCAAATTAAATAACAAAAATTTATTAAATATAATTTTATTATTATTTCTCATTAGTGCACAATTGACAACCAGCATCATATTTGACAGTACTAATTAAATGCAAGAACTTTTAATGAACATCTTTTAGAGAGGTAATGAATACAACTAAAAAGGTAAAAAAGGCTTTATTTTGAGGATCAAGAATGGATTGAAACATTTTGTATTGTTTCTTATGGGAAAATTGTTTTAGAACAACTTCTAGGAACGAATTATGTTAAAGAACCAAGGTTTGACTCTACAAACATTTTGTGCCTAAAGAGATGATCTAATTCTTAAATGCAAATTGATCAATCAAATCTTATAGACTGTGCTTTTTCTTAAATTTTCAGAGAGATTTTCTGGAAGCTATGTCACACATTTGAAACAAGATGATGCTTTTCAAGCACTTGAGTTCACTGAATGTGTTGTTGAACAGGAAATAATAGATCATTAATGTCAATTCATATAACAAATTTTATTCGTTAATGATACACATTCAGCTTACATATAATATACACACACAACTGACTCACAATAACTTGAAATGAAAGAATCTTTCATTTTGTATTTGTATGTACCTAAGAAATAAAAATAGATACAGTATATGCATTGTATTCCAATGTTTATGACCTCATTAAAATAATGGTAATTTCTGTAACTCACAATACAGCGTGTCTGAGAAAGATCTTTATCATTCTAAACATTAATAACAAAAATACTTACAGGTGAAATGAAATGCAAAAGAATGAAGAAAGCTAACAGTTTTTTTTTTTTTTACAGTACCTTTAATGTAGTTGTACTGTACATGAGTTCCGTTAGTATCATGAATAATGTCGAGTCTGTACTTGATTTCCCTCCAAGTGTTTTTTAACATTTTGCAGTGTAACAGTGGGGATTGCTAATTGTATCCTTTCCTTTAAAACAGATATATCAGAAACAGTTGTTTGATAAACCCTGTCTTTAACATAACCCTAAAAAAAGAAATCCAGTGGAGTTATGTCGGGCAATCGCAGAGGCCAAGGTATGAGTCCTTATCACAACTGGCAAGCAACTAGCACCATCTACCTCAGGCAATTGATACCAGAAAAAACTCTTAGATTTCTTCATTCTTTTGCAGCAAACTGCATTTCATTTCACCTGTTTTATTTTTTGTTATTAATGTTTAGAATGATAAAGATCTTTCTTGGACATGCTGTACTATTAAGTCAATTTTTTTTATTTCATGTTGAGAGTTTGTGTATATGTAAGCTGAATTTTCTTAGAAAAAATACAACTGTTATTAGAAGAATATTAAAGCTTCTCAGAAAGGAATTTATTCTAATTTTTTAATTCAGAATAGTTTATTTACATCAAACAAATTATTTAAATATAGAAAGTATATATACAGTAATTGTTGTACACAATAATCTAATTCTACATGACATATCTATATATATATAAATGGACGTGTGCGTCCCTATATTTCACTTTCTGCCAAAACTACACATCGCACATGAATGGTGTTTGTATGTGGTAGTAGCCCCAAGTCTCCATTCGTGCACCAGGGTGGTTGCATCTCGATAGCTATAAGGGTGCGGGAGATATGGGCTTGAAAGTGGTTGAAAGTAGTTCTCTATTTCGAATTTTATGTTCAAATTTGTTTGAATTTAATTCAAACATAAAATTTGAATATTGGTTTGATTATAGAACGATTGTAAACGTTCCAAAAACGTTGAAAATAGTTTGTTTGACTGGACGTGAACAGGAGACGTTCAGAAATAGAATTGGGACCAGGTCTCTAATTACTCTGGAAATGGGGGGCCTAATTCTTGCATTCTGTGAAAACAGGTAAGATTGGCTATAATGAAATTATCTTAATCTTCACTATCGTTACTTTTTAAAAACCCAGCGAAGCAGGTCCTTGCAGCTAGTATAGATATAAAGAAGCAAAATTTCCAATCCATAATTAAAGTTCAAATAATAATCACATAGATAACCTTTGCTTTATTTAAGTAGTACATTACAAATGACAAATGTTTTTGAACAGCTTGACCACCCTGCTTCAGGTCAGTTATGCATGTTCCATTTAGAATGCTCATTTTATAGCTTTCTACATTCGAACTCAATTCAAAATTTAAATTATTTTTGAAATTTAACTAAATTAAACTTTACAATATAAATTATATTGTAAACAATTACAATATAATTAATATAAATTTTTTATATTAATACCCTATTATTCAATTGAGTTGTTATAATAAACTCTTTTTTTTTTCTTTGGATTATCATAAAAAGCTTTCCAAGCAATTGATAATGAAACTGCATCCCTTAAATTAATGTGTTCCATTTTGAGAGCTGTTTTAAATATCTGTAATATCTTCAACAATTTAATTAATACTCTCTAGTTTAACTTTAATTTCTGGTTCTGAGGTATATATGGAAAGCATTATTGTTTGTTTCCCTTTCTCAATATCATATCTGTGTTCTTTAATCCTGCTGTTAAGAGATCTGTTTGTGGCTCCTATGTATATTAAATCCTTTCTGAATCTGTCATCTGTTAACTGTTTCTGGAGACCTATGTGAATTAGTCATAGAAAGCAAAGTAATGCTGGAATTTGCCCAAAATATTACATTACATAATAGATACATAGATGATATACTCATTATTTGGTGAAATAAACCAGATATACACCTTTTTTTTTTTTTTTTTTTAACAGAATTAACACAAATCTGTATGGTTGAAATTGTTCTGTATACCCTGAAAGTTGAACAACATAGCAACACTACACTTCATTTTTTTTTTTAGATATTAAAATTTAAAAAAACAGGGCATACATATCAATGTATATTATAAACTGGAATACATTCATTTATTCATTCCAGCATACTTAAATGATCCATTTAGATATAAATTAGTTGCTTTTTTAGATCGTTAGTTGGGCCTTTACCCATTGCACCACTATTGAGGATACAATGGCGCAGTTGCAGCCAAAGTTTTCATCTCTAAAACACGAATGTTGAGTGCCGCTTACAAGATAGTGCTTGACATTTGTATTTTAGAGATGAAAACTTTGGCTACAACCTCACTAATCATAGCTTAAGCATACAAAAAGAACAGTGACAACATGGGTACTTAATAAAACTGTCCTAAGCTGGCAATTATGCATAATGTCCAGTAAATTTGATTAAGTATGATTTATCATATTTACCATTATGAACTGGTGAGTATGCATAATCACCAGTAAATGTGATTAATTCACAATATAAGAATATCACATTTACCAAAATTGTGTGATTACACATAATAACTGGTGATTATGTATTAGGGGCAGTCAAATGAAAACGAGACAGACTATATAACTAGTGTGGCACGGAAGTTGGTAATGCAGGTTGGTGTGTTCCCTCAATTGGGAATCAGGAAGGAACAGCGTGAACGTTCACCACTGTGCCATTTGTCTATTAGAGTGCTCAAAGTGAGGTCAGCGAGTCGTGTGTGCATCTGACATCACTATGGAGGTCCGCTGCTCATTGACTTTCTGGAACACAGCGCCACAATTAACGTACAGCGGTACATGGAAACTTTGCAAAAATTGAAGCGTGCCATCAAATCCAAACGCCCAGGAATGTTGACAGACAGCATCATTCTGTTGCAGGATAATGCCTGCCCACATGTTTCCAAGGCTGTTTTGACTATGCTGCAGAAGTTTCGCTGGAAAGCCCTTACACATCCTCCATTCAGTCCTGATTTCTCCCAATGTGATTTCCATAGTTTTGGAGCCCCGAAGAAAGACATTCGTGGCCATCAATTTGCTTTGGACGAAAAGGTGCTCGCCTTAGTACAATCATGGTTCCGTAGGCAACTGCAAACATTTTTCTATGAAGGCATTGATCGTCTTGTCTCACAGTGGGATAAACGTTTTAAGTTATGGCAATTACTTTTGAAATAATAAACAGTTTACTTACTTTTTTCCCATCTTTCTCGTTTTCATTTGACTGACCCTAATATAATTACTGGATTAATCACTTTACCATAACATATATATAATTTGAGATTGAGATATTTGTCTTACCATTTGTTATAATAATTTTTATAATAAATATTCATGTAAAATATAATTTAATGTAGATTTAAGTTGTAATAGCTAATTTTTATTTCTTAGAATAAATACCAAAACTGATGCACAGAATAGCATTGAAAAACCATGTGGTGATAGTGACTGTCAAATTTGTTTTGATGTTACTGGTAATAATACTGTGGCACACAACTCAAAGATGGTATGTTGCACTCCCAGCCTTCACGTTGTAAAAGGTTCTGAAGATGAAGTTGATGATCCATCTATTACATACAGTTATACTCCATCTTTAACAGGTAGTTCATCATCATATCAAAATAGTCCACTTTTATCTGAACTGTCAACTGAAAATAAACATAAATCTGATAAAATAACTTTAGATTCATTATGTGAAATCTCTATTAATTAATAATGAAGTTTACACCCTTCTTTGAAATTATTTAAAAAAAAAGAAAATAATAAAAAGTTTGTAAATTTATAATTTAATCATGCATTCCTTTTAATTATGTATTGTATTTTATATAAATAGTTTTGTTAACTTTTTCATGTTAAATCATTATTTGTAGAAATTAGATTGCTGATGTTAATAATCTGATCTGCCAAATTACCCATCAGGATATTTTAAGGCCAGTAAATAAATTAAATACAAATCAGTGGATCATTTGGAGATAAATAAGTTGGGTTGTTGTTTATGTCAGATATAAAAAATTTTGTAATAATTTATTAATTATATACAGTATTACTTATGTAAATAATTGGTACAGTTGAATTCACTTCTAATCATTCTGGCATTTATGTATTATGATAACATTAAGTAGAAGAGAACCCTGATTTACACAAAACATAAGCAGTCAACATCATATTACATGCAAACCTGTATTATAAATGGCTTAAACATTTACACTAAGCAAGCTTGAGTGGATTCAAACTTCTCTGATGTAACTGTGTAAGCTTGCAAGCTTGAAAGCTGATCTATGAAATACTTTAATGAGATTTTTCTTGTTTATCAAATATTTTTTAAAAATATAATTATTTTAACTTTATTTGCTATACTAAACAAAAAATTTGAAATCGATTATTTATATTCTATGTTAATCTAGCTTCAAGAAATTTTCACTACTTTTTTAAATAATCTATTTGTTTGAAGAGCATTCATAAGCACTTATCTCTTAATCCTTTCTTATAATATTGATAGTTTAAATCATCCTTTCTAAAGTGAGCGATAATGCCCCTTTGTGGGCACTGGAGGCTTTCAGGGAAGAAGTTGAAAGCTCAGTGATTAAATATGAGTTTTATTTCTTCTCATTGAAACATTCTTTTTTCTCAGAGTGTGACCCATATCCTATTTCTATCTATTTTATCCATATAATAATGCATGTTTAAACATTATATTTGCAATAACTATTTTTAAGATACACAACGGATGGTAATGTAAAAAGATAAGTTAAAAAATATGGGGGCACTAGATTTTTTTAATCTCAAAGTGGGCGATGGTCGAAATAAGTTTGAGAACCTGTGGTTTAAAATCAATATTTCTCAATCTTTGTGTTCCTGGACCAGTTTTTTCCCTTTCTAATATCTCACAGGCCAGTATTTTTGAAATTAAATAAAAATAATTATAAAATGGAGAGAATGACATTCAGGTTTATTTTAATTTTGACTGAATTATTAAGAAAAATACAACAACAAATTTTCATTTTAATCATTTTGAAAAAAAATGGTTTGTGGGCCATTTTCAATTAATTTCCTGGGCTGATTTCAATTGCCAATCTATTCCTAAATGTTTAAATAATAAGGAAAGATTAAAAGTATTTTAAAATCATTATTTTATAACATTCAAGACTTTAAATTGTTTGCTTGTTTTATATATTATATTAATAAATTATTTGTGACATCACAATGCATGTCTGCAATTTTTAATCACATTTTTTATTTATTTAATTTAAAATGTATGCTCTCCACGTCAAATTAGTAGTGTCTTGCCCCTGTACATCATACTTTTCCTTTAACAATAGAGTTGTGTCTGTCATCTAACACCTTTTGGGGAAAAATTTTTTGAATTGAAATAACATGACTTCTGGTTTGCATCAGAAGTTCATATGTAGTTCTCCTGTTCCTATGGTTACAATATATGGTCTCGTCTTTCATCTATCTAACTCCATTCTCAAAATTACAGAAAGACAGATGAACAAACGACTGGGAATTTATAGGTCTACAATTTTTTCAAATTGCAGCCCAATTATGAAATTTTAACTGAAATCTTGTTGTGGCCCAGTAATAAACTATTTGTGGACAAGTACTGGTCTTCCATAGCACTGGTTTAGATGTTTATAATTCTAGATTTTCATATTTTTGAATATACTGTTATTGGCTGATAAGTTTTTAGCAAATAGTTTTTTGATCTCGCAACTGCCATATTTTAAAATACAAGCAGCATTACATGTCAAATAATGCTTTAAGCCAATTAGTCCTTGCATTTGCTACCATAAAAATTCAGTTTTTCTGATTCTACAACACACATCTATGTCTCCGAAGCATTATCATTTAAACAAAGTGGAATAAGTTATAGTAGCTTAGTCACAAGTGAGTTTTGCCTGACATGTTGGTTGCTTCTGCTTTGTTTAGTGATGGATTTGGCATCTAATATGGGGGTGCTGTTACAGAAAGGCATGCAACCTTAATGGAATTGTTTTGATCAGCACTGGTTTTGATAAAAATTGATAAAAACATTCATTTTAACTTAAATCAAAACCAGTGCCAATCAATACATTATATGAAATCAAAACTATTATATTGAATGCCACATGTCTTCTTATAATAGCGACCCAACATTAGATGTCATGAGTTGCCACTTTATTTAAACCAAGCTTAAGTAAATAAGTCTACAAAGGGAAATTTTGGATTTATTGATTCTGACATTATAAGAGCATGCTGAAACAATTAAAAAGGCATAACTTGAATTTATTAATTATAATTAAACAATAGTAGTTCAGCCAGTATTGTTTGTTTGCAATTTTTGTGATGCCATTTCATCTTTACCAACAGCTAGCATATAATTGAACCAAAAAATGTTAGCAATTTAAACTACTGTACTATACATTAAGAAAATGATTAAAACAATGCATGAAATAAATTAAGTAATGGTTAAAGCACCTGTTAAGATTGTGCAATCATGATCATTTATCTTTATCAATCTCATCTACATGTCGAATCTGATAACATAAGAAAAAACTTAAAAAATGCCTTTTTATCTAAAAATATAACTATAATTGAAACTGATTTCAATAAGTAAAGTTTTACATGTTTTGGAAAGGCTAAATTATTTCTGATAGATATTATCATCAGTTATTTAATGCTAAGATTACAATAAACTGTATTTAAGTTATTGTATGCACAACGTACAAAATTTTAACAGTAACAAATTGCGTAATTATTAAAATACAATTATAATGTATATGTATACAAAATATAGTTAAACTATCTTGTAAGAAAATAGTAAATTTGTGGAATCAATTGTATATTATATTTTAATAAATTTAGAAATATTTGTCTTCCCAACGTTTTCTATATGTATTATTTAAATTTGGGCAAGCATTACGTTATATTACGGTATTTTGAGGGATGAACCATAAATGTAGCAATGCAGAGAAATATTCTGCAGAAACGAAAAATATGTTAGTGTAATTAATGATTGTTAGCAATAGAAACTAGAATATTCATAATTATTGTTATAATATAAAAATAAAATATCAATGTTTTGAATTTTTGTTACATTTCACATTCCCAGAACATGAATCAGTATTAAAATGTTTTGGAAATAATATATTGTAATATACACAAAAATAAATTATAGAAAAAATATTTTAAAATACAGTAAAGCATCGATTATCCGACCTCCGATTAACCGTCACATCGGTTAACCGACCGTTCTAGTCGGCAAATTTCAAATGTCTAGTAATGTGGCACTACAATATTTGGCTGTCTTGACGACTTTAATAATAATTTTGTTAGTTTTGCGTTTTAGCTGGCAATGTCGGCTCGACCATAGAAAAGAGGCCAGTATTTAAACGAGACTTAATTTTCTAATTATGAGTGGTTCTTTTGTTTTGTGAGCAATAAAATAATTTTTAACGATACGATAGCGACGATTATTATTTTTAAAAAATTGTTAGGCTTAACATCGATGAAAATTCAATGCGAAGTTGGTTAATAGCGATATACTAATACAGTATACTATACTAATAATGTATTTTTTCAGTTATCCGACCATCCTGAGTCCCTAATTGAGTCGGATAATCGATGCTCTACTGTATTAATATATGAAATATAATTTCAACACAATACAGCGTGATCTTCGCGTCAAATATCAGATAAAAGGAAGTGTTCGGATACTATCGGTATTTTTATGCAAAACATCGATAGTACAGTGATATTACCGGTTATCCGGTTTACAATACATTGCTAACCTGGTGGACATCAAATAAGGACAGATAGTAAACATTCGGATTTATTTAATAAACAAACTATATTTCAATTAAAAACTTATTTGTTTTCAAAAATATAGTAGAGCGTCGGTTATCCGAATCAAATGGGGACGGGTTCTTCGGATAACAGATTGTGCGAAAAAATATATTAATCTATTCCATGTTGAAATTTTTCTCTGTTGCGTGTCGCTTTGCGTTGAATTTTCGTCGATGTTAAGTAATGTAAATTTTTAAAATAATAATAGTGGCTAAATAAATATCGTTAAAAATTATTTCTTTATTTTGTACAAACAAAATAAATTGAAAAATATAAAACAAAAAAATTATATTTTGGAAGTTAATCTAGTATCAAAAGCGTTCAACACGACCAAAGTCGGTAGATTAACGTTAATCTACCGACTCTGGCACGACACAGTCCGACTGGAACGCTTTCGGTTAACCGACGTTTCGGATAAACAACGCTCTACTGTATTAAATAGTTTACATTTCTCTGCTTTAATGGGCTTCTTTCAGAGATGGACTTCTCGACAGCCAGAGACATTTTCTCGGAGCTGACAAATACGGAACTATTTGTGATAAATTATTTTCGGAATATCGAAATAATATATACAGTTGTTGACCCAAAAGTGAAACGGGTTGGAATTTGGAGGCTCGATATACTGTCGAAAAGCAATAATTGCGTCCGCTGGTGAATTATTTGTATTTGGTGAATGTTTAAGTCCACGTATCGATAGTTACGGATACATCGATTGCATCAATCGTAACTAATTTTTTTTTACACTCTTTGTACGAGGGTAGTCCTAGAAGTACCCGACCTAACAAAGAAGACACAAAAAATTAGGTAAAACATATCTTTATTTTTCAACATAGTCTCCTTTTAGCTTGATAAACTTTTTCCAGCAATGTACAAGAGCTTCGATCCCCTGTTTATAGTGAGAACTGTCGAGCTTCTCAAAATAGCCATCAACTGCAGACTCCACCTCTTCATTGTTGGCAAATCTTATCACCAAGCTATTTTTTTAAGTTTGGAAAGAGAAAATAATCCGAGGGGCTAAATCTGACGAATAGGGTGCGTGAGGAAGCAATTTGAACCTTAACTCATTGATTTTGGCCATCGTAATAACGGATTTGTGACCGTCGCCAAATGTGGCCGTTTTTTCTTGATTTCATCACTCAAGCGCTGCAATAAGTTCGCGTAATACTTGCCGTTGATTGTTTTTCCTGGGCTCATCCCAAAAAACTGACGCCATGACCTTGCCAGCAGGTGGAACTGTTTTCGCCTTTCAGTCTATTGTTTCGACTGTTCTTTCGTCTCAGGTGTGAAGTGATGGACCCATGTTTCATCCATGGTTATGAATCGACGCAAAAACTCGGCTTTGTTGCTGCGAAACATTGCCAAAGACTCTATTGAATCATCCTTAGGATGCTGTTTTTGTCCCATTGTGAGCAAACGCGGCACCCATCTTGCGCACAGCTTTCTCATGTTCGAATTTTCAGTTAAAATTCGATGTACAGCACTTTTTGAAATGCCTACCATGTCTGCTAGTTCTCGCACTTTGAGTTGACTGTCATCCAATGCCATTTTGTGGATTTTTTCCACCATTTCTGGCATGGTCACCTCACTTGGTCGACCACTGACATGTTCGTCTTGGCAGCTCGTACGGCCTCGTTTAAACTCTGCCACCCAATATTTTATTGTTGTAAACGAGGGCGAGGGAGCAGACTCCCCCAAAGTAGAATCTAGCTCAGCTTTAATATTGGTTGGACTGAAACCTTTCAAATGAAAGTATTGTATCACATAACGATGACAAATTTTTTCCATGTTTACAAATTCACTGAGATTGTTCACTATTTATGGCTGCAAAAAAATACTATACAACGTA